TATCTGGGGCCCGGCATGTTTCTGATCGCGTTGGCTCTTTCTGGATCCGGTCGACGACAATCTTTATTTATAATGTGATCTAAGAGTTTAATCTCTGGTAAGAAAAAGTCACACTTTTCCTCCTTAATCTTAAATCCGTATTCTTGTATCTTTTCGAATACGTTTATTATTTGGTTCCGGTCCTCTGCCATAGTTTTACTAGTAACCAGTATATCATCCAAATAGGCTGTTGCGTAGTCAAGCTCGCACAGCATGTCGTCCATGACCTGCTGGAAAATTGCAGGCGCAACCTTTACTCCAAAAGCCAGTCTGTTGTATTTGTACAAACCTCTATGGGTGCTTATGCAGAGCAATTTGGAACTTTCTTCATCCACCTCTATCTGAAGGTATGCGTCCGAGAGGTCAATTTTAGAAAAAAATTTTCCACCATTGAGTTTATTGAAAATTTCTTCAGGGCTTGGGAGAGGATAGTGGTGATCTTGCAAGGCATCGTTTAACCCTGTGGTAAAATCTGCGCATACTCGTATTTGATTGGACTTCTTTTTTACGTAGACCGTAGGTGCTGCCCACTCGCGGAAATCTGTTTTTGACAGAATACCTGCTTGTTCGAGTCTATCTAACTCTTTGTTGATTTGTTCTAGAGCAGCGAAAGGGATATTCCGTTTCTTTTTGAATACCGGTTGTGCACTGTCCTTCACCTTGAACTTAGCTTTCATTTTAGTACATTTCCCATGGCCGCCAGAAAAAACCTGGGGAAATTGTTGTTTGAGTTCCTTTTTTTAGATTTATCAAATTGGACGTTGTACTTTGTATCTTGCGACAAAATGTACTCATTGTGCAATCCCAAAGATGGAATTTTTCTATCCAATCTGTCCCAAATAAGTTATCTGAAGTTTTTAATACGTAGGCTTTGAGCTTTTTGGTAAATCCATTTAGTGTTACTGTAAGTATTACCTCGCCTAAAATGTTAATCTTTTCGCCAGTTACGGATTTTGCTGTTTTATCCGTTTTTAATAAGGTCGGCTTGTTTAATTTTCGCCAAGTACGCCAGTTAATGGTTGAAAGATCGGAACCCGAGTCAAGCTCGAATTTAATAGAATTATTGAAAATATCCACAGTTACATATTTCCCTAAATTCCTATCGACAATATCGTCAGATTCAGCTTGCCTAAATTTATTTTTGGGTTTTTTCGTTCTGTTGGCGTACCAGCACGAAGTTAAAGTATGCCCACTTTTATTGCAGTTTTTGCAATATTTTTTGTTCTTAACTGCACAGAATTTCATCCAATGCCATTTACCACAATGGTAACATGGTCCCGGCGGTTTCTTTAACCTATTTGGGTTTTGGTTACTGCGTAATTTAGGACATGAGATTTGCCTTTTGTCTTTTTGAGGAGAATAGGTGGTAGACTTACTTCTGATTTTATTAATCTGAGCAACCCTTGATTCCTCGATAGTCTTGGAGTCACACTTTACAGATATTACTCTTTGACAGTCCTCTGCCAGTTTTTGGAGAGTCAATCTTTGTTCGTTCTCAAGCTTGGTCAGTACTCGTCGTCTGACTTCGGTGTCTTCTGCTGATACTAGACCTTGTGCGAAAATGAAGCACTTGAAATCATCGGCAGTCAGTTCGGCTAGTTTAAAATCATTACAGAGCTTGTTTATCGATGCTGCAAACGTTAGAAAATCTTGCTGGTTGTCTTTGACTGTGTTCAGACATTTCCAACGTTTGTGGAACAAGGTTGTTTTAGGCCCGAATATTTCCGATAGGAGCTTAATAGTCTCTGAAAAATCCAAGTCAATCGTTTTCTTGTGTAGTATGAAGTCTACGAACCTACTATGTTCTGTAGTTCCCAGTTTTCTTAATAGAAGACATACCTTCTTTTTACTGGGGCATTGTTCACAGTCTACGTTGAAAATATCTTCGTAGCGCCTGTAAAAAGCCTGGAACGTTTTGTCTTCCTCTGGTACGTATTCAAAAGTTTCCATTGAATTGTAAATTATACTCTGGGAGAATATTGTATCTTTTTCAGAGTTTGAGCCTTTTAATGCATTTACGAGTAATTCTTTAATTTGTTTCTGTTGTAGTTCAGCATTCTGAAGCGTAATTTTTGGAATTCCCTTTGTTGTTTATGTAATTTCAAAAATAGTTGTTGTTGTCTTTCTTCTGATTTTTGTTGCTGATCCAAATTTAGTTTTAACATTTGGGCAACTACTTTTTGCAAATCTTCCATATTTAAAAATGACAGCACTTTTTTGTTGCTTTGAAACACGTATACTAAGAGGAGGTACACAAAAAATCTTGATAGATTTTTTATCCTTTTTTTCTTTTACAGAAAAAAAATATGGATAGACAATAGTTAAACTAAACTAATTATGTGAGTTTAGCTTTTTGTCCCAGTGGTTTCGTTAATTTTAACGTAATTGAATAATTTTTTACCACACTTATGTATATTTTTTTTTAGAAAGATACAAAAAAAGAGAAAACTCACCTCAGTGAATTTGAGGGGAGAATAATTTTATGCCCGAGTTCAACTCAGTTACATAAAAAAAAAAATTTCGATAGTTTTTTCGAAAACTTGAGTACAATGGTAGTACTTGCTCTTGTATTGTCAGTTTGTTTTACGAACAACTGTTTTTTTTCTGATGTGTGTGGGTGTGTAGAAATCGTTCTCGTATTTTGGACAGACTTTAATATTCCGTAGATGTCGAATTGCTAGTTCGTCTCTGATGTTTGGTATTGGAATATATATAGACGCTGGGTGTTTAGCTTTTAAATCACTAATGTATTAATACCAGCTAAATTTCATGTTCAACACTGCTGTGGGAACGCGTGGAGTTTCTGTATTTTTCGAGTACTGTCGCTATTGATATGGTGAGAACGAAATTCTCGAATCTTTCTGTCGCCACTGATGTGGGACTGACAAAGTAATGCGGTTTTCGACGTGAATGCGTTTCTCGAATTCTTCGTCGACACAGATGTGGAACTGGTAAGGTATTGAGGCTTCGCCGTGAGTGCGTTTCTAGAATTCTCGTCGCCACTGATGTGAAGCCAAAGTCGGGACCACAGAAGTAAAACACGGAACACGGATTAGATGTAAGAAAGATATATTGACAACAGGTTACAGAGATAGTGTAAGCGGAGCTTACTATATCAATCTATGTCACTCTCTATGTCGCCTACTTAATATAGGCCTGGAAGAGTCTATTGTGTAGGTATTTTCCGGTTTCACAATAGTGTCCCAAAAAATTTGGCATCATTTCGCAGGCCAATAATTTTGGCAATTCTTGTTGAAATAACCTCAAATTTTCAGAGAATGTATAGAAACAGATCAAGATTTTATATTTAATGGAAGAGGGCAATACATGCTTATTTCAATGAGATTCAGCCAGAAAGATAGATCGTGATGCAGATGAACACAGTTTTCTGATGAAATAGCCGCCGCTGTCACCGGACCTGTCTCTGTGTGATTTCTTTTTATGGGGGTATGTGATCAAAATGAGGAATGGGGATAAGGGCGGTCTTCTTCTCTCTTAACATTAAATTTATCTAATCACAAACACTGACCCAAACATACCACAATATTCCTAATACCAAAACAACGCATTCTCACTTACCTTTCTTACTACATCCACCGTAATACCTCATTGTCTCTATGAAAATCCTAACTAGTCCCTATATTTACAATTCATAACGAAGAGCTCATCCGAACAATTACCATGAAAGTATTTATAGAAAAGACAGAGGGAGGCAACCTTGCGGCGGTGAGAAAGTGACTGGAGCCGAACTGCCAGATCAGGACCAATAATACTGATAGTTCTTCTTTGGTTCTTATCAAGGAGCTCCAGGAAAATACCATGGACACCCGACCATATATAGCAGCAATATTCTAAGCATGGTCTTTCTACAGCACCAACAATTAAAATGGAAAACACAGGTAACTCGAAGAGAAAATAATGATGTAATCAAGATGCTGACTTTCCACGCTGCTTCAAGCGAAATGTTGGGATGAAAGCCTTAATTCAAGTGTACTACTAGATTGGCAATTAAGTCCCATAGTTTTATTGCTGAAATAGCTAGATGTAACCGTAAGCACTTTTTTGATCGAGTTCACCCCAAGCAAGGCAGTGAAACCTCTAAGACACAAGGGTTTATTAGGTGTGGAAGAATTAGAAAATACAAACATTAGCGAGAGATAGCGATTGACATTGCATTAAAATGTTTGAAGATTAAAGCTGACTGTCAGCATGGGACTAGAAGAGAGTTCCACAGGTGAGATATTTATTTCCGCTTCAAATACAGAAAATGTGGTATACGGCCAAAAATAGGGAATGAGAAAAGGACGGTCTTCTTCTGTCTAAAATTTAAACTTAGCTAACCACAAGCACTAACCCAAACATACCACAATATTCTTAGCACCAAAACAATACATTCTTACCTTTCTTACTACATCCACCATAATACCTCATTGTCTCTATGAAAGTCCTAACTAGTCCCTAGGGAAGGGCGATATTTATTTCCACTTCAATACAGAAAATGTGGCACAAGGTGAAAAATGGCGTTATGAGTTAAATAGAAGGGTAGAATGAGTTCGCGAGCCGTGGTTGGTGACCAGTCTAGGAGAGGGAGAACACTTAATTCACTTCCGGGTGTGTAGGCATTTAGAGGCGCATAAAATGCAGCCATTGTGGAATTGCCAATTCACCATTCTTCATATACTCCGTGCCATATTCCAGCAGGTCGTGAACGATCATGACTCTCCACAACCTCCTATTTCTTGCAGCCCATAGCAATATTTGTCCGCTGTCAATCCTTCCATACCCTATTCCACCATCCATTCACACAAGGTCATCGGTGAGGTGACACGCTGCCTTCTAGTTCTATTTCATTCTATAAGTCCTATGAGTGTCAAATTTTCCAAGACCACTTTCCTCATTGTATATCCAAGGAATTTCACCTGTCTCTTCTATATAGGGAGATAGATAAAAAGAAAAATATTTTATAAGAATGAACGGACAGACGGACAGATATATAGATAGACAGATAGATATGAAATGAACAGACTAAGATAGATAGATAGATAGATAGATAGATAGATAGATAGATATGAAATGAACAGACTAAGATAGATAGATAGATAGATAGATAGATAGATAGATATAAAAGAACTTAGATATAAAAAAGTGAAATAAATAGATAGAAAGAGACTGAGAGGGATAGATAGATAAATAGATAGATGGATAGATAGATAGATAGATAGGCACATAGATAAGAACAGAATTAGATAGAGCATTCGACAGAAAGAAAGATAGATAGATATAAAGCGACCGAGACATACAGATAGATAGATAGTATGAAAAGGCAAAGATAGATATGAAGAGGCTAAGATAGATAGATAGATAGATAGATAGATAGATAGATAGATAGATAGATAAGAACAGAATTAGTAAGATATGAACAGAATTATATATATATAGATGGGTATGAAAGAACTTAGATATGAACAAATTAAAACAGATGGATAGAAAGAGACTGAGATAGATAGATAGATAGATAGATAGATAGATAGATAGAAAGACAGATAGACAGACAAACAGACAGACATATAGATAGATAGATAGATAGATAGATAGATAGATAAGAACAGAAAAAGATAGATATAAACAGAATTAGAGTGATAGAAATTATATGAAAAGAAGATAGATAGATAGATAGATAGATAGATAGATAGATAGATAATGAAGAGACTGAGATAGATAGATAGATAGATAGATAGATAGATAGATAGATAGATAGATAGATAGATACGAAGTGGCAGGCGACAAAGGGAAGCAAACAAGGGAAAAGCCGATATCATACACGACTTGGAACAAAGCTTTAAGCGGTTCCACTTCTTTTATTTTCAACATTGTGCAGCAATGGCTGTCAAAAAAAGCGTCTGGTGCATTTGGGTGGAATAAATCACCTATTTTTAACAATTTGTATCAAGAATCAAATAAGGAGACTTCGAATTCAGACATATGGGGTGCGTTAGAAAAATGTTGTACGATGAAAATTGCTGAGATAGAGTTGTTAGAAAGAAATCGTTATTTTGAAAGACGCTTTTTTCCTCATTTTAAATCGTTTTTTTTTTCTTCTAAAATCTCTTTTGTTTGTTTATTCTTACAACAATTGTTCCTTTTTCTAATTCTTTTTTTATTTGGCGCCATTTTTATTTATTCACCAGTGTTTTCAGTTTCTCATTGTTATAATGCGTAGTGCTTCTTTTTTTTTATTATTTTCTTTCTTTTGTGGGACGTTTTCTTTCGCCAAATAATGACTCCACCATTTCTTTCTTCTCGTTATGCATATCTTTTTAACATTACTTATTAATGTTTAGCATTTTTCTTTACTCGTTTTTAAATTGTCACTTTTTTTCTCTCTTTGGAATCGATTCTTTCAAGGTCAATTTCCATCGCATTTTTTTCTTGTATATTTTTTCTTCTATTTACATGAATTTTGTAGTTTTCTTTCGATACTTCCTTCGTTGGCCCGTTTATTTGTTTATCGCTTACTTTCTCTTTCTGTTTTCTTTCTTCATTTCTTTCTTTCTTTCTTTTTTCTTTCTTTCTTTGTTTCTTTCTTTGTTAGTTTAACTTGTTTTGTTTGTATCTTTCTTTCGTTTTTCTTACCCTTTAATTTGTCTGTTTCAATTTAACTTCTTTTTTGCTTGTATCTTTCTTTCTCTCTTCTCATCTTTATTTTGCTTGTTCGTCTTATTTTAAATTCTTTGGTGTATTTGTTGTATTTCGTTTTTCTCCTGCTTATTTTGGTTGCGTATTTAATTTTAACTTCTTTTTTGTTTACATTCTGTTTTTTCTTTTTTTCTTTTCCTTCTTCTTTTTCTTTCTTTCTTTCTTTCTTTCTTTCTTTCTTTCTAGAGGACTCTTTCTTTTTGGCTTAATATTTATTTCTTTATTACATTTGACTTTTTTATTTCATTCTCGTGTACGCCTTTTCCTGATATTATATGTTTATCCCCCTATCTTTCTTTCGTTCGTTCTTTCTTTATTTTAACTTCCTTCCTTCCTTCCTTCCTTCCTAAATTTGCAATCTTTCTTTCTTTTTTCGTATTATCAATTTTTTTATTTGTACTATTTCTTTCTTTTTCTTTCTTTCTTTCTTTCTTTCTTTCTTTCTTTCTTTCTTTTAGTTTAACTTCTTGTTTTGTTTGTATCTTTCTTTCGTTTTTCTCCTCCTTATTTTGTTTGCGTATTTAATTTTAACTTCTTTTTTGTTTATGTATTAGTATCTTTCTTCGTATTTTTATTTTGTTTGTTTTTTGTTTCATTTTAACTTCTTTATTTTTTTGTATCATTCTTTCTTCGCGTTTTCATTTTGTTTATATTTTTTTTCGTTTCTTTGTGGATTTAGTTCTTTTTTCCCCTTGGAACTAATTCATTCAACTAATATTTCCTTCTATATTACGTTAATTTCCTTGTTTCCATTTTTAAAAAATTCTTGTTGTTGTTGTTGTTCTTCTTCTTTTTCTTCTTCTTCTCCTCCTCCTCCTCCTTCTTCTTTTCCTCCTCCTTCTCCTCCTCCTCCTCCTTCTTCTTCTTCTTCTTCTTCTTCTTCTTCTTCTCCCTCTTCTTCTTCTTCTTCTTCTTAACACGAAACAGTGATACAACGGATATATGTTGGATGTGCTGATAATATAGTGATTAGCGTTTCAAACGAGAAATCAGCGAGTCGAATTCGAAATCCGACTGAGTTCTTTACATTCACTTTCGCACCAATATCCCGAGACAGGCATAAATGCATTTATTCAGCTATGAGCTAAATAGCAGGGTAGGCTGAGTTCGCTAGCCGTAACTAATCTAAGGGAGGGAGAACAGTTTATTCACTTCCGGGTATGTAGGCATTTAGCGGCGCAGTGGAGTTACCAATTCACCATTCTTCTTATACTCCGTGCCATATCCTACCAGGACGTGAACGATCATGGCTCTCCACAACCTCCTATTTCTTTGTTGTTGTTGTTGTTCTAATACGGAAAAAAGGCTGAAAAGTTTTCGATCTGACTTAGAAGCCGATTCTGATCTAACATCGGTTAATTCAATTACAACAGAATAAAAACTGCCTTTCAAACGCTAAACAATGAGTTAAGAAACACGAAAAATTATGATAGAAGTTTTTGAATCATTTTATCCCAAGCAAGGCAACAAAGCCTCTAAGACACAGTACGTTAGTGAGTGTGAAAGAATATAAGAAAAAGCAAAACAGTATTAAGGAGAGATCACAATAAAAGAACAGGAATTAAAATACAGAATATAACGACTGACATTGCCTTTAAGGTTTTGAAATTAAAATTAAAAAGCAAGAAGACGGGAGAGAGTTCCACAAGCGAGAACTGCGAGAGAAGAAACTGTTAGCATAGAACTTACGGTTACATATATCCATTTTAACTGTAAAATGACGAGGCATTTTGACCAATCTAATACAGCGTTTAAATTTATAAAGTTTATGTACCACAGGGAAAGTAATATTTATTTTGAAAATAGAAAAGATGTGACACAAAGAAAAAAGAGGGATAGAGAAATGCTGGTCTTCAGTCTGTCTTATTTTAGACTTAGCCAGCCATAATTACTGGCCCCAAAATACCACAGTATTCCTTACACCAAACCAACGTCTTCTTACTTACCATTCTTACTACAGACACAATAAAACATCAAAGTCTAACTACCTCCCATATTGTTGTGGTGTCTAATGAGGCTATTGTGGACTCTTCCACTTACTATAAAGTACTAGGAAAATAAGCCTCGGGGTAACGATGCTATACAACTGTTCTACGGGAATATTTTTGGCCGAGGCTACAGGCTCGGAGAACCTCCGGTAAATTCGGTCTTGTGCCACATACATTCCTCGTCGGGTGGGGGCGGTTAAATATAGCGGTGTCAAAGCCTGTTCGTACTGTCGAACTCTTTGCCTTGAGCAGAGAGGAACCCGGACTAGGCTTTGCCGAAAGGCAAAGTTTCGTCCAGGGAGGTAGACAAGCCCTGAACCCGTTTATACGGGTTCTAAGGGAATATTTTTGGCCGAGCCTACGGGCTAGGAGAACCCACGGGAAACTCGGCCTTGTGCCACATACGACTCATGTGGTGGGGTGTTAAATATAACGATGCTATACAACTGTTCTACGGGAATACTTTTGGCCGAGCCTACGGGCTCGGAGAACACACGGTAAACTCGGCTTTGTGCCACACCCATTTATCGTGGGGGGATGTTATAGCCTGTTCGTACTGTCAAACTCTCTGCCTTGAGTAGAGATGAACCCGGGCGAGGCTTTGCCGAAGCGCAAAGCTTCGTCCGGGGAGGTAGACAGGCCCTGAACCCGTTTATACGAGTTCTAAGGGAATATTTTTGGCCAAGCCTACGGACTCGGAGAACCCGCAGTAAATTCGGTCTTGTGCCACATACATCCCTCGTGGGGTTGGGGCGGTTAAATATAGCGGTGTCAAAGCCTCTTCGTACTGTCGAACGCTTTGCCTTGACCACAGAGGAACCCGGACGAGGCTTTGCCGAAGAGCAAACTTTCGTCCGGGGAGGTAGACAGACGTTTATGCGGGTTCTACGGGGATTTTTTGACCGAACCTACGAGCTCGGATGACCCACGTTAAGCTCCGCCATGTGCCACATGTACCCTCGTGGTGGGGCTGGGGGTACTAAATATCAGAACAGTGATATAGATTGAACGCTGGTCAACCGACACACACTCCCAAGTCGTGTAACACCTGTTGTATTTACTGTTCTGTACACTGTTTATCTGCAACTTTTTGTTTTCCTATTCCTTAACCATATACTTGGTCACAACACATATATACAACTAGCAGCATGGACCGGCGTTGCCCGTGCTTGATTCAAAAATCATACGACTCATACAGCAATCGCTATCAGTTGACTTAAAATATTTTCGCCCTTCCTTGCCTTTAAAGGAGTGCCCTTTGCCATGCTGATGTTGCTACATGCATTACTTCTTGCCCATCTCGCACTGCGAATTTTTTCTAAGCTCTATACTAAACATTAAATCTGTTACAAAAAAAGAACTAAACAAAATGAAGACAAAACGATCAGCTTTAAAAAAGGACTCGTAAATGAAAAAAGAATGTTAACAACAAATACTTTTTCACACCCAACTCAGTTCTGCGGAATCAGAATCAACGTTGAGTTTAAGCAAGCGAATGAGCCAATTGGAGTAAAGCGCTATGCAGATTTAAATTTTTCCCACTTGTGACGAATGCAGCTATCGATTTTTTTGCATGCTAGCATGCTAGTTAACATTTGTGTCAGTCAGCTGTTGGCTCTCACCCTGGCCAATAGAATCTTCCTGCCTATTCGTGGCAGCCAGTTATAGGCTCTCACTCTGACCAGTACAAAATGGCCGCAAACTACATAAAAACTGCCGTAGAAGCATGAAAAAATCGATTTTTTCCACTATCAATGGGAGTTGGGAAATGCAACGTCGGTCTTAGCCTTCCCGCTAACTTGGAGCATGTGCATGTAAATTTTGGTGCAAATCCGTCGAAAATTGCGGCGGTGCATTCACACACACACACACACACACACATACACACACACACACACACACACACACGTCCTGCCTTTTATGGGTAGAGATTTGTCTGTGGGATGGAAGAATAAGACATTTATAGAAAAGTCACAAGGAAAAGGCTGTGGAAAGATACTGAAGCAGAGATGCCAGAGCAGGACCAATAATACTGCGGTTTCTTGTTTATATTTTATCAAGAACCTCTAAATAAAAAAAAATCGTAGCAATATCCAAATGCATGGACGAATAGTAAACTTATAAATGTGTAAGATAGATTCGATCAAGAGAAATTCTCTTGCACGGCACAGTGAATCAACTTCTTAGGAGTAGACCTAGCAGGTGATTCATTATCATTTTTCCACCTTCACGTCAACGGAAAGCGTTAACCCGAGCAAGTGCAATGAGTCACTCACCTGTCGAGAGCTAACCTGCTAGGAAATATCAATCCTTCTATATGGCAGTGAATTTTGAAGAGACTTGAGACAACAGAAATGTGGTTACACAGAAGGAAGTTGAGCACAGATTGAACATGTGAATAAGGAGGAGGTTTTAAGGGTAACAGGAGCTAAAAAGGCGCTTATATCTAAAATGAAAAAGAGACAGGTGAAAATCTCTGCGATGTACAGGATGTCCAAAAAATTTGACATCTTTTCGTAGGCCAATAATTTTGGCAATTCTTGTCGAAATAACATCAAATTTTCCGAGAATGTATAGAAACAGAATACTCTTCCGTCGATTAACTCATTATATAAATAAGAACAATAATAATAATAATGCAACGGCCAGGATAGACAGATCACAAATTACATCTTGCCAGCTCAACCGCAAATTGATGAGACTTCGACGCCAGTACAGTAGTGTGTTTAAATTCAAAAAGTCTAGTTACCCAAGCGAAGGGTGATATATATTTGTAAGGATGTTGAGCACGAATTGAACATGTGAATAAGGAGGGTTTTTTTTTTAGGGTAACAGCAGCTAAAAGGGCGCTTATACTTAGAATGAAAAAAACAGTTGAAAGGGTGTCCCAAAAAAATTTGGCATCATTTCGCAAGCCAATAATTTTGGCAATTCTTGTTGAAATAACCTCAAATATTCAGAGAATGTATAGAAACAGATCAAGATTTTATATTTAATGGAAGAGGACAATACATGCTTATTTCAATGAGATTCTGCCAGAAAGATAGATCGTGGTGCAGATGAATACAGTTTTCTGATGAAATAGCCGCCGCTGTCACCGGACCTGTCTCCGTGTGATTTCTTTTTATGGGGTTATGTGAAGGGCCTGGTCTATGTGCCCCCGCCTCTTCCTGCTAGCATTGATGAACTCAAACAGAAAATCACTTCCGCACTAGATATGTTACCGGAGGCATGCTACAACGTGTTTTGCAAGAGCTTAACTACCAACTTGACGTGTACCTTGTCACAGTCGGTGCACATATTAAACACTTATGAAATCAGTCCCATAATAAAGTTATGATGTTCAACACATAAACTGTTCAATTTCATTGAGCTAGACTTAGTAGTTTTCAAGATAATTGCTTTTAAAATGATGTCCAATTTTTTGGGAGACTCTGTACATACAGAATCCTCGTTTTTCTAAAAGATTTTGAGTCTTACTCAGTTCAAGATGGATGACAGATAAATCCCCATATCCTGCTTTCAAATGTGGTTCACACATAAATAAAACAATATCAGAATATCCTGTGTTACTCTTTTCGAAACTTGTTTACTTATGATGAATCCATTTTTAGGAGATATGTGAAGAGATTGGTCTATGTCTCCCCTCTTCCTGCTAGCATTAATGAACTCAAGCAGCAAATCACTTCCAGACTGGATAATGTTACCTGAGGCATGCTACAGCATGTTTGGCAAGAGCTTAACTACCGACTTGACGTGTACCGTGTCACAGACGGTGCACATATTAAACACTTATGAAATCGGTCCCATAATAAACTTATGATGTTCAACACCTAAAATGGCCAATTTCATTGAGCTAGATTTGGTAGTTTTGAAGATAATTGCTTTTAAAATGATGGCAAATGTTGTGGGGAACACCCTGTATAATGCGCAAGTGTGTTCAGAGAGTTTACCACTCAGATGACATATTGAAGGCAAAATCTTGCAGAGGAAAACAACAAGTAGTCTAACGATCATGTAGAAATGCATTGGGAGTGAGCGTAAAGAAATAAATATTGTTTAGAGCAGGGGTGGGCAACATTTTTGAGCGTGAGTACCAAAATCGGCCAAATATCCGACAAAATTTTTTCCACATGCCAACAAAACTTTTTAAACATCAAAAGTAGCAGCAACTAAGCTGGAACTGGGCCTACCTGAAATAAGTTCAGTTCACGAGAAATTAATTCCTTTTTTTTCTTCTTCAGTTTTATTGCTTAAATGCTTACGAACGCTTTCAAAATGTCTCTTCACAGAAGAAGTCCTACAAACTATTGTTTCGGGACAGAAAATGCACAAGGCTTTATTGGCTTTCTTAATCATGCCAAATTTTTTCAGTATATTCCTCTTTAAATTCTCTAATATCAGCTTCATTCAAATGACATCATTTCTTAGCGGATGATCGTGACACTCTTCACAATCTGTGAAGGGCAGAAAATAAAAAAAAATACATGAAATAATGATATACATTAAAAAGGAGAAAGAATAAAAGTAAGTCAAAAAGGGAATCTAATGAATAAATTTCGCGTGCCAGAAACAGATAATCGATGTGCCTTGTTTGGCACGCGTGCCAAGGGTTGCACACCCCATGTTCAAAACTACAAAAGATAGGAAGTTATGGATAGACAACATCGGCAAGGGCCTGAAGAAACACGGCAAGATTGATAAGACCGCGCCGAGAACAGTTCAGTATCCATTTTGGTGTAAGGGCTTTTTGTTTCAATCGTTCAGATAACAAACAGCAAATTTCCTTTTCGTTCTGTTCGGTTCGAAGGAAGATGCATTTTAAAAACGTTTTCTGTTTTGTACCCGGTTATTTTTCTTTGTTTTCGGTTATTTTTCTTTGTTTTCGGTTATTTTTCTTTGTGTCATTTTTCTTTGCTCCCGGTTATTTTCTTTGTTTCTGGTTATTTTTCCTTGTTTTCCTTTACCTTTCGTTTAATCTGTTTTCTTAAGTTCTAATATTTTTCGTTATTTTTCGGCTCAAGCCACAGCCGATTTTTTTTTATTTATAGGCCATTCGTTTCCTTTTTTCTTCCTTTTCAAATCAAATCTGACCTTTTTTCCTTGATTAGTGAATATTATAAATTCCATTTGTTACAATCCATTTTTCTCTCACAAATTTTTTTGTACACAGCCTTCCTTTTCTCTTTCTTTACATTGTTTTTTTGTTTTCTTTTTTGTTTTCTTTTGTTTGTTTTCTTTCCTTCTTTTTTCTTCATTTTTTCTTTGTTTTCTTTCATTTCTTTTCCTTTTTCTTCGTTTTTCCTTTATTTTATTTTCTTCTTTTCTTTTCTCCGTTTTTTCTTTTCTTCATTTTTATTTTCTTTTCTTTTTTCTTCGTTTTTTCGTTTTCTTTTCTTCTTTTCTTTTCTTTTTTCTTTTTCCTTTTCTTTTCTTCGTTTTCTTCTTGTTATTAGTATTATATTTCATTTTTTTTTACTTATTTGGTCTTAATTTTCTTTTTTTATTTCCTTGTCGTTAACTATAACCAACTTTTTTTCATAAGACCTTTCTTTATCACTGACTCTTATGATCTGTCTTAAGTTTTCTTTCTTTCTTTCATTCGTTCTTTCTTTATTCTCCACCCGATCAATCTTTTTCTTACTACATCCATTCCATTAATATCCTTCCTTCCTTCTTTCCTTCCTTCCTTCTTTCTTTCCTTTATTTCTTTCTTTCTTTCTTCTCAATCACTTTCTCATTATTTCCACTCTCTTAATTCTTGTTTGTCAGTTTCTTTCTTTCTTCTCAATTACTTTCTCAATATATCCATTCTCTTAATATTCTTTCTTTCTTTCTTTCTTTCTTTCTTTCTTTCTTTCTTTCTTTCTTTCCCTTCTCTAAATATTTTTCTTTCTTTCTTTCTTTTTCCGTCTATACTCTTCATTCTTTCTTATTCTTTTATTCCTTTTCTCCTTTACTTCTTTTTTATTGCATTCTCTTCTCCCTTCTTTTCTTCTTGTAATTTTTTCTCATCTCGAATATACTTCTCACCGTCTTTGTAGATTTTTGCATTTGTCTGTTAATTAAACGTTTCCTTTTCATTAAACTCGCTCTTTTTCTTTACGTTCTTTCCTTTTGTTTCCTCTTCTTCCATGATCTGTTATCCTCTTCTTTATCAATTTCTTCCTTGTTCTGTTCACCTCTCTCTTTAACAAGTTCTTCTTCTCTTTGCGTTCGCATTTGCCTTTCAGCTTGCAATTCGTACGTTATCTTACCGTTTTCTTTATAATCTAACCTTGCTGTCTGTTTCTTCAAAATATTCTCTCAGCCATGGAGACTAGCTCCCATTATCGTCACAGATCCCTGAAGCAAGCAAGCAAGAATGCAAACGAACCGGTCCCACTCAAATTGAAAGAAAAAAAAAAATAAATAAAAAACGAAAGAGACAGACAGAAAATGGCGATCATTCTCTCTGACGAGCTGATCGGTTGCCATAACTTCTTTCAGAAGAAGAAAAGCAACGGGAAAGAAGAAAATTAAAATCAACGACGATGGTGCTGTCGATAGCGGCGTCCACGCAGCTGAAATCGGAACCAATCGGAAATTACGATTTGCCATTGGATGATGACTTTTGCAAGCGGTGATGGCGTCCGAGTTGACGAGCAAGTCGACGACACTGACAAGTCAACCAGAAGAGGTATCGTAAAAAGAGAAGAAACTGAGAAGGCTTACTTGAGAGTAGGAGAGATTAAAAAAAGAAGAAGAGAATAAAAAAAAAGTAGGAGGAAGAGTAATAAAGACAAAGAAGAAATAAAAGAATCGATTGGAGGAGGAGGTTTTAGTCCTCTGTGTGTATAAGGGTGTGTGTGGTTATAGATAGCACTGGGTTGGTGGTAGAGAGAATCGTCTCGTGTGTGCCTTTTTCCATGTTTTGTGAGCGTCGTTGATTGGTTCAGAGACCCCGGCCGTTATTAACTGCGGGATTACTGTCAGTGCTTCAACACAAAATTACTTCCGGTAGCGTTTACAGGTCGGCCATTATTCTTTCTGGTCTCTCAGGTCTTTCCGCTAATGGGGCATAATTGACTGGTGTTAGTTTCAGAAGGACTCCTCCCTCACTCATTCAATCTTTTATTCACTTATCACCACACTCTTTCACGAAATCCAACTAAACAACTTTTTTTTTTTTCATTTGATTCTGTCTTTTTTTCGAAATTGCTTATTGTTTTTCATTCCTTTTTTTCGTCAAAAACAACTACAATTTTCTTTTTGTATTTTTTCTTGCTCTTGTTGTGCTTTTAGCTTTTCTTTCTTTTTATTATCTTATTAATCTATTTTTCTTTTCTTTTTTCTCTCCTTCTTTTTTTCTTCCTGACGCTTTCCCGGTTTTTTTTCTAGCAATTCTTTTTTGTTCTAATTCTTTCTCTCTTTCTTTTTTCTTTTCGTCTTTTCTTTTCCCTATTGATTTTTCTTATCTTCTTTATCTCTTTCTTTTTTCTTTTTTTCTCTTTCTTATTTTCTTCTTCTTGACGCTTCCTACGTTGTTTTCCGGCATTTTTTTTTACCGCTAATTCTTTCTCTTTTTCCTTTTCGTCTTTTCTTTTTTCCTATTTATTTTTCTTATCTTCTTTATCTCTTTCTTTTTTTTCTCTCTATTTCTTTTTCTTCTTGAAGTTTCCTCCGTTGTTTTCCGGCAATTTTTTTTCGCTAATTCTTTCTCTCTTTCGTTTTTCTTTTCGTCTTTTCTTTTCCCCTATTGATCTCTTTATCTCTTTTTTTTTCTTTATGTTCCCCTTATTTTCTACCGTTCTTTCCTTTATTGTTTTCTTTCTCCCTGTCTTACTTATTGCTCGTTAGATTTTTTTCCTTTTCTAGTTATTTCTTCCTTTTTTTCCCATTTTTCTTTTTTTCTTTTCATCTGGATATCTCCCTTTTTTTCTCTTTGTTTTTCTCCTTCATTTTCCTTTTCCTATATTTATTTCCTTTTTTTATTTCACTCAATTACGTTCTTATTCTTTCTTTCTCTCTTTCTTTTTTTCTTATTCCTAGAACACATCTTTCATTTTCTTTCTTTTTCTTCGTGTTTCTCCATTTTCTATTCCATCTAATTTCTTTCTTTTCCTCCGTCGTATCTTTCGAGCTTTTTATTATTATCATCCATTCATTCATCCATTCATTCATTTATTCATTAAATCTTTCTTTCTTTCTTTGTTTCTTTGTTTCTTTCTTTCTTTTTCTCATTACTGTTCTTTCTCCAACTTTTTTCTTTTTTCTTCTTGTTTCTTCAGTTCTTATTCTTTCTAATCTATTTCATTAATTCCATCGTATTTTTCTGGCATTTCAATATGATCATTCATTCATTCATTCATTCATTTTCTTTTCTTTCTTTCTTTCTTTCTTTCTTTTTTTCTTTCTTTCTTTCTTTCTTTCTTAATTCCAGAAGCATCTATAATCTTCATTCATTTTCTTTCTTTCTTTCTTTTTTTCTTTCTTTCTTTCTTTCTTTCTTTCTTTCTTTCTTTCTTAATTCCAGTGTCATCTATATAGCTTTTCTTTCTTTTTTTCTTTCTTTCTTTCTTTCTTTCTTTCTTTCTTTCTTTCTTTCTTTCTTTCTTTCTTTCTTAATTCGAGCAGCACCTATAATCGTTATTCATTTACTTACTTTCTTTCTTATTTTCAGTAGCATCTCTATCGGTTTTCTTTCTTTTTCTTTCTTTCTTTCTTTCTTTCTTTCTTTCTCGCACAATATTTCTTTGTTTCTTGCTTACACCTTTCTTTCTTATATTTGTAATCTTTCTTTTTTTCTTTTTCTTTTTACTTGCAGAATCTTTCTTTCTTTCATTCTTTTTTCTTTCTTATATTTACACTCTTTCTCTCTTTCTTTTTTAATCGTTCTCTCTCTTTAATTACTGTACTTCTCGCTTTCTAATTATCATTCATTCAGTCTTTCTTTCTTTTTTCTTTCTTTTTCTTTCTTGCATACTCTTTTTTTTCCTTCCTTCTTTCTTTCTTATGTTTACAATCTTTCTTTCTTCCTCTCTCTATTTTTAATTCCCCTAATTCCCGCATATTAATTATCATTCTTTCTTTCTTTCTTTCTTTCTTTCTTTCTTTCTTCTTACATTTTTAATCTTTCTTTCTTACATCTTACATTGTTTTCATTCTTTGTTTTTCTTTGTTTCTTTTTTCTTACGACTGCAATCTTTCTTTCTTTCTTTCTTTCTTTTTTCTTTCTTTCTCACGTTAGTAATCTTTCATTCTTTTTTCTAAGAGTTTTCATTTCTTTCTTTTTTTTCACATTTGTAATTGTTCTTTCTTTCTTTCTTTCTTTCTTTCTTTTTCTGTCTTTCTTTCTTTCTTTCTTTCTTTTTTCTTCTTACATTTTTAATCTTTCTTTCTTACATCTTACATTGTTTTCATTCTTTGTTTTTCTTTGTTTCTTTTTTCTTACGACTGCAATCTTTCTTTCTTTCTTTCTTTCTTTCTTCTTTCTTTCTCACGTTAGTAATCTTTCATTCTTTTTTCTAAGAGTTTTCATTTCTTTTTTTTTTTTCACATTTGTAATCGTTCTTTCTTTCTTTCTTTCTTTCTTTCTTCTTACATTTTTAATCTTTCTTTCTTACATCTTACATTGTTTTCATTCTTTGTTTTTCTTTGTTTCTTTTTTCTTACGACTGCAATCTTTCTTTCTTTCTTTCTTTCTTTTTTCTTTCTTTCTCAGGTTAGTAATCTTTCATTCTTTTTTCTAAGAGTTTTCATTTCTTTCTTTTTTTCTCACATTTTTAATCGTTCTTTCTTTCTTTCTTTCTTTCTTTCTTTCTTTCTTTCTTTCTTTCTTTCATTCTTTCTTTCTCTATGCCTCCCTGCCTCTCTTTTTTTCGCTTTAATTCCTCCATTTCTCGCATACTAATTACATTTCCGATTTTTTTCCCCTTTACTTCCCTGATAACTCAGATTTGGACAAGCTGCTTGAACATTGGCAGCCAGGAAACGGTTAAGGTCGAATTTTACTTTTTTTCTTCTCTCTCGCCATTCCAATCTTTCTTTGTTGTACTCATCCGTCTTTCTTTTTCTTTCCTTTTATTACCGTCCATTTTTTCTCTTTTTCTTTTCACTGCTACATCATTTCTTTTCTTTCATCATATCACCCTTATGTATTTCTTCGTGTTTTTTTTTGTTTTTTTTCATTTTCATTTTAATCGGCGTCTTTTTTTACTCTTTTGTGATCTCTTCTTTTTATATTGATTCTTCTTTATTTTCATTTCATAAATCTTTTTATTTCGAATCACCTTCAAGTTTCCTTTTTTCCCATTCTTTCTTCATGCGCTTTTATAAAATTGTCTGTAATGGACGACGTCATCATCAGTTCAGTCATGGAAACATATACCTAGCAAGCGGTCACATTTAGGTTTGGTTTGGTTTGATTTATTTTACGGCAATGGGTTATTTAATGCCGACAAGATTTTTATTGCTGGTAATATTTTTTCAAAAAATGTATTGATGGTAATAAAACCTATTTTTATAAGTTCATAGCGTTTTGTTTGGGGTGTTAGCTATTTGCCCATAGCTTACAATCTAAAAATATTTTCTGTCTTTAAATAACCTGTAAACCCGTAAAGACTATTCAAGTAATCAAGTAAGTTAAGTTAGGCCGTGAGAATTTTAGAACAAAACATGCTATTGCTGTTACAACGCAGGAATTTTAAAAGAGACATTTTCCCCAGACACCTCTTTTATTCCAATCCCACCTTCTATTTAAAACTCAAGTGTATATATTCATATTACTAAAACTGCTATTAGGAATATATATTCCACTCTTATTAGCTTAGATTATAAACAAGAAAGACATTTCATGGAATTGTCCAGAGACCAACGGCTTAGAATCCTAAGAAATAACAAAAGACAAAAAAGAGATGTAATACTGTTACAACTAATACGACTACTATTACTATTACTACTACTACTACTACTAATAATAATAATTTTTATATAATATAATTTTATATAATATAATAATAATAATTTTTTTTTTGTCAGTGGAAAGTGTCATGATGCCATTTCTAACCTTAGGTCCCTGGGCGGGACCCGGAAAGAAATGTGTAAACGCCAGAAATCAAAGGAAATAATAATAATAATAATAATAATAATAATAATACTGAAAAATTGTGCTAGTCCAAAATTCAGATTCGCTTGGGTTTGGTTGTTTTGTTTTACGGCATTTCAACCTCAATGGGTTATTTAATGCCGTCAATATTTTTTTTTATTGCTGGTAATATCTTTTTAAAAAAAAATGTATTGCTGGAAATATTTTTTCAAAAAAAAATATTATTGTTAACAATTTATTCTTGGAAAATAATAATAATAATTTTTCCAAAAATGTATTGCTGGTATGAAAACCTATTTTTACACTTTCATAGTGTTTTGTCCCCAGTTTGGGGGACAAAACACTATGAATCACTATAGCTGGGATCCTAACAGATGCTACCACCCCGGGTCAGGGTGAACCTGGGCACACCAGCTATTAAGAGGTGGTTCTATGTTCCCCAAAACCTCCTGATCAGAGGCCTTGCTGTTGGATATAATTTATCGTCTTACGACGGGGTCAAAATTTAGGCTTTTTAAGATGTATTTCTAAGATGGCCTCCCTGGATATAGAATAAAAGTTGATGTCGCGCCGGAAGTGACTTTTTGTTCCGCTTTCTTGTCTGTGGGTTTCAAGGTTGAAGTTTATTCGATGTTGATATTTACATTATTTACGCTTGGACAATCGTCCTCACCTTTGTTATTATTATCAGATTTTGACCGTTGTGTTCTCTGACCCTCATCGGATTGATTGGAAAAGGTTCCGATAGACTCATTGAAGGGATTCCTGGCAGCCCATGCCTTAAATAAATTCAAAAAATTGTACAAATACAGCTCACACATTACGAAGAGCTTTTTCTATTTAAAATGCGTGTGATCTTATATATTTTTACACAAATAATTAGTGGAAAATATCATGAAGCCATTTCTGACTTTAGACATCTGGTTGGGGCCCAGAAGGATATGTGCATACAACAGAAATCCAAGGAAATAATAATAATAATAATAATAATAATAAGAGAGAGGGTCGAATCGTGTCGAGCCGATAGTATTTCACTCCAAACCAGACTGACAGTCATACTAACACCTTCCACATCTTGTATTATTATTTCGTGTAATATACCTTCGTTATTTCTACTATTGTGTTCGTGTTGTTCTTCCATGGTTCTAACCTGGACCATAAAATAATAAAGAAACAAGTTTCAAGAAGACAGAAGTTGGCGATAATCAGAGGGGAGATTTGAGAAAAAGGACAACAAAAGAACAGGTTTCAGGAAAAAAAAAAGATGGCGCTAATGCCACTTAGACACACAGGGGTTACTGGAAGTGAAAGAGAATGAGAAAACCTTAGTGAGGAGAAGTGAGGAAAAGGACAATAAAGGGACAGGTTTTAGAAAGACAGAAGATGGCGATAATGCCACTAAGACGCAAGGGGTTACTGGAAGTGAAAGAGAAAGACTATATTTAGAAGAAATGAGGGAAAGGCAATAAAGGAACAGGTCTCAGAACGACAGAAGATGGCGATTGGCGCCGTTTTTAAATTTTTGCAGATTGTAGGTGACAGGGAAGTGTGGAGTTGCCCCACTTACTTTCCTAAAGGAAACCGTCGCTAGCGGACGCTCCGTTAGCCTATCAATAAAAAATGACATTCGCTGTCAGCCTCTTTTTCTTGTTTCACCCAGGGACGGTAAAATGTAGATCGAACGCAGAGAAAAGCGCACATGTACGCACGCCAGCACCTTCCTCTTCACTTTCTTAAATGTAAAACCTTTCTTTAAGACTTACTTCAACACACCTTCACACACACAAGGAATTCACTAGTTTAAATATTTTCATCACTAGTCTTCATTTTTTTGAAGCACGCAACAATATTCTATTTTCTATGTGTACATTGTTTTGTCAATACATACACTGGCATTTTTTATATACCTGGTGTAAAAGAAAAATTGTCCGAATCGTGTAACAGCAAAAGTGTTGCAATTGTTAGTTTAAATTTGAACCTTTGTATATTAGAAATGATTAAAGGTATTGTACTGGAATTCTCTAAAACTCTACTTTGAACAATAAGAATGTAATTAGCTCTAAGCTGAATAATGATCTCTCAAGCTGTTGTGACCTCCTGATCCTCATTTCCTCTCTACTGCTACCTCTTTTTTAAAACGTATTCATCATTCTCTTGATGGTTCTTGAATGTTCTTTCAAGATGGAAGCCAGAGTATGAATGGTGGTAACATTACTGAAGTCCTGAATGATTTTTTCCTCTCACTATTGCTCTGTTGGGAAGACAGGCTAACACAATATAATCTTAACCTGTTCTCCGTTTAGCTGAATAACCCAAAGGTTTTTTTCAGTGATTCTTACGAAAAATGGTGTCAAGATGGGTAATCATTTTATCCGAAAACCTGAGGAAAAGAAACTCATTTTTTTTTAGATATTAAACATTTCATCTGTTACACGATTTGGACAATTTCGCTGTTACACCCAGTATATACAGGGTGTCCATAAAGTTCGTGTGCACATTAAAAAATTTATAACTTTATTTGTATTTGCGATAGAAATAATCTGTAAAAAATGTTATAAAGTTTAATGTGCCCAGTTTTAAGTATAGCTAAAATAACTAAATGGATTTCATGGATTTCAGGCATTACTGTAAATCAGTTGGCAAATGTTTTCCGTGAACTGCAAAATCGTATTACCCTTTGTATTTCTAATGATGGAGGACATGTGGAAACTTAAATAAAATTTCAATAAAACCTTAAAAAATATAGATTTACTTCTTTCTAATCCTTTTTACAAATTATTTCTATCGCAAATACAAATAAAGTTATAAGTTTTTTAAAGTGCACCCGAACTTTATGGACACCCTGTATATTGGGGTGATTATATACTGTTATGTTTCTAGCAGTTTATTCGTTTTAAACGACGCTGTTTTTGTCTTTTTACGGCCATTTCCGATTTTATTTTATTATGAGAATGAACGTTTGTGTAAATTTCCGGCATTGATTTTTGTTAAAATGCAACTTTTATGAGTTGATTAGTTTTCAGCATCTTTTAAACTTATTTTTTTTCCGTTTGAATTATTTTATCGCCTCCCATCAGCATTTAGGTCAGTTATAGAGACAAGCAAAATTTAATGAGAGAAAAAACGGACACCAGCTATTCCCCTTGCCCCAATTCTTGGTCAGACGCCATATTTTGTGTATATTAATACGCAAATAAATAGTGTTATATATTAGCGTTGTTTTCTTCCACCGATGGAGAGACACGAACAAAAGTCAGCTTGATTACGAAACTGAGAGAACAAGCCTCTAAAATATGAGTGCAGATAAATGAAGAATTAAAAGAAAGATAATAACAAAAGGAAAAATTAAAAGAAATGAAAAGACAAAAAAAAAAACAAAAAAACAGACGAAATTCCCAAATATCTTTTACAGATTAAAATGACAGGGTAAGAAAAATGGTGGCATATATAAAAAAACGACAGTTCATGAGAAAGTTATCGGTAAATCAATGATAATGGCGGAACTCAGTGATTCAAGTCCTATCACTTGTTCGCTTTTCATGACCACATATATATATATATATATATATATATATATATATATATATATATATATATATATATATATTCAGACAGATTTCGTGGAATAATTTAGACACGTTCTGTCTACTTATTTTCGATGAGATCATTTCAAATTTGAGAATAAGCGTTTTTGTGCGGTTGTTAAAAGACGAGAGGAAAACACCATCTTGGCTCATATTGTAATTTAATCCGAGCACTTTCGACATAGCATAATGTCATCATCAGGGTACTGTTAAATAAAAAGCTTATTCATGAATATGAAAGGATCTTATAGAAAATAAGTAGACAGAACATGTCTAAATTATTTAACGAGACCTGTCTGAATGCAATCATGCTGCCGAAACACATACATATATATATATATATATATATATATATATATATATATATATATATATATGTGTGTGTGTGTGTGTGTGTGTGTGTGTGTGTGATTTGAACATTAAAAAATATTAAAAACTTTCAGACACACTGGGTTGTATATTAATATTTTTTGTTTTATTATTTCAATTAGGTTTCTCGACCAGTTTCGGCCTAGCCTGGCCATCATCAGTTAGTAGCCGTGAACTACAGGAGTGAA